TCCTACTTCCGTAGTGATACTGCCTCGGAAACCCAAGGAGGGGTCGCTATGAGTCGGGGCCGACTCGACGGCACATAACAACAACTGCATTTTGTGCTTATTTTAAGAATTGTTGCTTTAACCCCATTACTAATTATATATGTTATGTAAATGTCCTTTTATTTATCTATAATCATTTCCCTTTCTGCTTCTTTCCTAGGTATCACACCTGTGTATCATAATATGTTTGCTTTAATGAGTGAAACAGAAAGGATTTGGTATCCACCCAACTACGTCTTCCATATAGATGAGTCAACCAGGCACAATGTACTCTACAGAATAAGGTACTTTCTACAGTAAAATTGTAAAGTGAGTCACTTAATGGACACAGCAGGTAGGAGAAATGATCATATGCATCTTTCCATTGCAAGGTGCTTAAATCCAGAGACAAGAACTTATTATTAGCATTTAATCTGCTTCATTTAAGACTCTCTATTAGAGAAAGTGTCTGCAATGAAATGTCTACTTAGAATGCTCTGATAATAAAGTCATTTGGTGGGATGCCACTTTACCACTTACGGTTGTAATTAAAGAATAAAAGAAGGACAAGAAAGGCCTTTACTAGCAAAATCCTAAATGTTTAGAATATTGCTGGTTTCCTATGAAATGAGATGGTTCGTACAATAAAATATAATCTTACATCCCTTCTTTTAAGTGAAATGAAGAAAAGATAAGCCAATTATTTATGGACTAGTCTTCATTTCCCTTATTGCATAAGTAGGGTTGGTAGCAAAAAGAACATAAACATTTGCTGTTGACTCTCACTCACGGCAACCTCTTGTATCTCAAGAGTATGACTGTATCCCATAGGGTCTTTAGTGGCTGATTTTTTGGAAATAAATTGCCTAGTTTTACTTCTTTTCCTTTTAAAACTTTTCATTGTGATTTGGGTGCAGTTTTACAAAGCAGATTTATTTTACATTCAATAGTTCATATACATTTTGTTTCATGACACTGATTACAATCCCTGCAATGTAACAGCTCTCCTGCCACCTCCTCCCTGTGGTTACCCCTTCCCGGTGTCCTTCTTACCTACATCTTCCTGCCTGCCGGCTTTCTCCTGTGCAAATGCTGCCCTTATGATCTCCTGTGGTTGAATTCTAAGGAGTGTATCTCCCTGATACAGTTGTTTAGCTCATAGGCCTGTCTGTTGTTTGGTTGAGAGTTATGCCATAGGAGTGAGTCTAGTTCCAGGCCTGAAGAATGACTTGGGGCCATAGTCTCAGGGTTTCACCAGTATCTTTCTGACCAATAACACTGGTCTTCTTTATGTTTTTTAATTTTGTTCCACATTTTTTCTCCCACTCCATCCAGGATCTCCAATTTTGATCCTTTTCCAAGTGGTTGGCATTGTTAGCCAGGTACCATCTAGTTCTTCTAGTCTCAAGGTCATGTAGACTGAAGTTCCCATAGTCCATTACTCCCTTGGACTAATTGATTCCATATGTTTTTGCATTTCTTCACTCTTCTTTGCTCTGGAGAAGGAGAGACCAATAGTTGTGTCTTAGATGGCCGCTTGCAAGCTTTTAAGACACCAGTTGCTACTCACCAAAGTAGGATGTAGAACAATGTTGTGCCAAATAAGTTTTATGTCCCCCATGCTGCTATTTCTTCTGAGGTGCCTTTGGGTGAACTCAAACCTACAACCTTTCAATTAGCAGCCAAATGCATTAACTATTTGCATCACCCAGGAACTCCAACTTTAATACATATGAAGTCTAAAATAATCCCTCACATTTATGAGCAATAGGTTTTTAACAAGGGTGCCAGAATAATTTAATGGGAAATGAAAAGACTTTACCAAACAGTACTGAGCCAACTGGATATGCATATGCAAAAGAATTAACTTGGGCCACTATCTCGTATTAAACAAACACAAAAAACAAACTGGATTGTAGGTGTGGGTTGACAGATGATATTTTCACGTATGTATTTATATATGCTGCAAATCTATCCATGAATATAGTAGAGCATACAGAGGGCAAAGTTATGAAAACTTCTTAGCCTTAACAAAACATTTTGAGAGAAGGGGTTTCTGGTCTGGGGGCTCAAAACCATAATCCTGGGGACACTAAGATCCATTGGCTTAACATAATCCACAGAGACAATGTTCTACATTCTACTTTGCTGAGTAGCAAAGGTCTCAAAGGTCTTTTGAGGTCTCAAAAGCTTGTGAGCAGCTATCTAAGGTGCAGCTATTGGTCTTTCCCAATCCGGAGCAAAGAAGAGTGAAGAAAACCAAAGACGCAAGGCAACAATTAGTCCAAAGGAGTAAGGGACCACATGACCTCTAGCTTTGACCCTGAGACCAGAAGAGCTAGATGGCACCTGACTACCATTGCTGACTGCTCTGAAATGAATCATAATAGGAGGTCTTGGAGAGCGGGGAAGAAAAATGTGGAAGAAAACTAAAATTCATAAGAAAGAGGCTTATTGGTCTGATAGAGACTGATGGAACCCCTAAGACTGTGGCCCTTAGACATCCTTCAAGCCTGGAACTGAACTCAACCTCATAGTTCATCTTTCACCCAAACAATAGGCCTATGTGGTGAGCAGGAACACCAGAGAGACACACACTCATTAGAACAATCAACCACACCTGATCAAAAGGTCAGCATTTGCCCAAAGATAGAGCTCAGAAGGTGAGAAGGATAGGAAGGAAGGGCAAAGGGAAATGGTAATCATGTGAGGAAGTGAGAAGATGATCTTACATTGTGGGGATTGCAATGAATGTCACAAAACAAAATGTGTATGAATTATTGAATGGAAAGCCAATTTGCTCTGTAAACTTTCACCCAAATCACAGTGAAAAAAAAAAAATGGATTGTAGACTTAGAATTAAGAGATAAATCTATAAAACTCTTATAAAACAACTATTTATCTCTACTCATGGAGCAAAAGAGAATGAATGAAATCAAAGGCTCAAAGAAGAAACTAGTCCACAAGACTAGTAGCTCACATGAACTACAACCTCTTCTAATTTGAGACCAGAAGAATTAGATGGTGCCCGGTTGTTATCATTGATCGTTCTGACCAGGGACACAGTAGAAAGTCCTGGATAGAAGGGGAGAAAATGTTGAACAAAACTGAAATTCCTAAAAAAGGCCAGACCTAGTGGACCAGTGGAGGTGAGAGGAACCCCTGAGACTATTGCCCTAAGATACCCTTTAAACTTGAAATTGAAGCTATTTCTGCAAATCATCTTTCAGCCACAAAATAGATTGGCTTTTAAAATAAACAATACTCCCATGAGTAATATGCTCCCTTAAACAATTAACCATATGAGACCAAATGATTAACATTTACCTAAAAGCAAAGATGAGAAGGCAAGGAGGGGGAGGGAAGCTGGAACAATGGAAACAGAACAAACAAAATGAAAATGAGAATGTTGATACTTAGTAAAAATTGTAACCAGTGCCACAGAATAATTTGTGTAAGAATTGTTAAAGAGGAACCTAATTTGTATAAACTTTCATTTACATACAATAAAATATTAAAAAAGAAAAACTCTTTTAAGAAAATACAGGAGTAAATATTTGACCCTGATTCTTTAAATTGTTCTTTAAATATGACACCAAAAATCCAAGTGCCCCCCTAAATATATATACACATATAAATTAGACTTTATCAAAGTTAAAATCTTTTGTGCTTCAAAGGATGCTATCAAGAAAGTGAAAAGACAACCCACAGAATTTTGTGAGAATACATTAAGAACTATTACAACCCAAAAATAAAAAGAGAAAAAACTTCCTGATATTAAACCATGCACTATCCTCTTGTTCTGTTTGAACAACTGCCTCTTGGTCTATTTACCTCATGAGCAAAATTAAGTGGTCTGGAATTCCCATTCTTTGCAATGTTATCCATAATTTGTTACTATCCACATAGTCAGATGTTTTTTCATAGTCAACAAAACATAGGCAACCATCTTTCTGGTATTCTGTGCTTTCAGCCAGGATCCATCTGACATCAGAAAAGAAAGCCCTCATTCCACATTCTCTTCTGAATCTGGCTTGAATTTCTGGCAGTTCCCTGCCTATATACTGTTGCAACTGTATTTGAATTATTTTCAGCAAAATTTTACGTACGTGTTATATTGTTCAATAATTTCCACATTCTTGTGGATCACTTTTTTTTGGAATGAATACAGATATGGATTTCTTCCAGTAGGTTGACCAGGTAACTGTCTTCCAAATTTCTTGGCATAAATGAATGAGTGTTTCTAGTATGCCATCTGTGTGTTGAAACATCTCGTTGAGCATTCCGTCAATTCCTGGAAGCTTCTTCTTCTTCTTTTTTTTTTTTTTTTTGCCAATTCCTTTAGTGCAGCTTGGACTTTTTTCTTCAATACCACTAGTTCTTGACGGTATGCTACCTCCTAGAATGAGTGAATGTTGAACTCTCCTTTTTGTACAGTGACTCTGTTTATTCCTTCCATCTTCTTTTGATGCTTCTTGCATCATTTAATATTTTGCCCATACAATCCTTCAGTTATAACTTGAGGCTTCAATTTTTTCTTCAGTTCTTAAGGCTTGAAAAATGCTGAGTGTGTTCTTCTCTTTTGATTTTCTAACTCTAGGTCTTTATACATTTCATTATAATATTTCACTTTGTCTTCTCAATCCACCCTTTGAAATCTTTTGTTCAACTCTTCTACTTCATTTCTTCCATTCACTTTAATATTTTATAGTTCCTCGAAAAGTTACCATATGACCTAGCAATTCTACTGCTAAGTATATATGCAAGAGAAATGAAAATGGACATAAAAACAAAGCAAAACAAACAACCTTGCATGTGACTGTTCACACTGTTCATAGAAATGTTATTCATAATAATCCAAAATGGAAATAAGTCAAATGTCCATAAACTTATGAATGAATAAACAATGTTATATATCCGTAGAATAGCATATAATTCAGTAATAGAAAGGAATGAAATACTGACTCATGCTGCAACTTTGAGAACCTTATGAATATTATGCTATGTGGGAAAAGTCAGTCAAAATAGACCATACAATGTGTGATTCCATTTATATGCAATGTCCAGAATAGGCAAATTTATAGAAATAGAAAGATTAATTGTTGCCTAATTCTGGGGAGTGGGTAGTTAGAATTTTAATGACTGTTCATGGGTACAGAGTTTCTTTAAGGGGGAAGAAATGTTCTAAAATTACATTATGGTAATGTTTGTACAACCCTCTGAATATACCCTATGAATATGCTAAAAAAAAAAGAAAAAACCAAAACCATTGAAAAGTACATACCATTGAACTTAATGGTATGTGAGTTATATCTCAATGAAGCTATTATTAAAAAAAATCATTGAAGTTTTCATTTCTTTGAAGGAGATTCTAACCTCTATTTCTTCAAAATAAGCAGTTACTTGCTTTATACCCAACCAACATTTTCAGGTTCCTTTGCTAATGTTAGTGGATTTGAACTTTTTAAAATATTTTTGTTAACATTTAATTTCTACATCTGTTTTCTATTACTACTTCTACATGTTGTGCATGGAAGAAGATAATACATTGATTTTACCCTCACTTATGTTCCTTGTGGAGTCCCTGGGTGAAGGAAATGGTTGACACACTTGACTGTTAACCAGAAGGTTGGTAGTTCAAGTCCACTAAAGGTGCCTCAGAAGAAAGACCTGGTGGTCTACTTTCAAAAAATCAGCCCTATGATGATTTAAAACCCTATGATGCACAGTTCTGCTCTCACACACATGAAGTTGCTGGGATCGACTTAGTGGCAACTGATTTTTTTTTACCCCATTGGTTTTATATTTCTTGTGTTTTTTTGCCTATATTATTATCATGGTCTAATACAGGTTTCCATTTGTCCCTATCTTGTATTCAACCATATTAGCTGTGTTATCTGATAATGGAATAATACTTAAAGTATGCTGCAAGTGGATATATGTAAACCAGAAAACCCAAACCCACTGCCATCAAGTCAATTCCAACTCATATAGGCCCTATAGAGTAGAGTAGAATTGCCCCATTGGGTTTACGAGGCTGTAAATCTTTACAGAAGCAGACTACCTATCCTTCTCCCATGCAGTGGCTGGTAGGATTGATCAACCAAACTTTTGGTTAACAGCTGACTGCTTTAACCACTGCACCACCATATTTGAACTGTTTGGAGGCTGACTTAAGGTTTTAATTGTCTTGTAGGTTTTACTTTCCTCACTGGTATTGTCATGGCAGCAACAGAACCTACCGGCATGGAATAGCTCGAGGTGCTGAAGCTCCTCTTCTGGATGACTTTGTCATGTCTTACCTGTTTGCACAGGTATGATTCTATTAACTTATTTCATCTTGTTTAAATGATAAATATCTTGCCACTCAGACTGTCTCTTAATCAGGAAAAGTTTCACCTATTAGAAAATTGCTATTCTGCCTTGCAGAGCAGGTATAGTGAGGTAGTAAGATTGAGTCTTTTTATCACTAATTTTAATCTTTTGGTTTATGGATAATAGACTCTATTTTATAAATATTCCTTGATTTGATCTTTTTGACTTTTCCCTTTAGTCTCAGAAGCCATTTAAAAAAGAGAAGCCTCTGAGAATAGCTTCTATAGGTGAGGACTGCGTGCTGCTTTTGTGACTGCGTTATTTTCCTCTGCTGCAGAACTGGTTCATTTTAGTTTTTGTTGTTGTTAGGTGCTGTTGGGTTGGCTACAACTCACAGCGAGCCTATGTATGACAGAATGAAACACTGCCTGGTTGTGCACCATCCTCACAATCCTTGCTATACTGGAACCCATAGTTGCAGCCACTGTGTCAATCCATCTTGTTGAGGGTCCTCCCCTTTTTCCCTAACTCTCCACTTTACCAAGCATGATACTCTTCCCCAGGAAGTGGTCCCTTCTGACAACATGGCCAGAGTAGGTGAGATGAAGTCTGGCCTTTTTCCCTTTCCAACAGCATTCCAGCTGCATTTCTTCCAAGACAGATTTGTTTGTTTTTTTGGCAGTCCATGGTACTTTGAGTATTCTTTGCCAGCACTACAATTCAAAAGCATCCACTCTTCTTCGGTCTTCTTATTTATTGTCCAGCCTTCACGTGTATTTGAGGCACATGTATACCATGGCTGGGATTAGGCGCAGTTTAGTCTTCAAAGTGACATCTTTGCTCTTCTGCACTTTAAAGAGGTCGTTTGCAGCAGATTTGCCCAGAGCAATACGACCTGAGATATCTTGACTGCTGCTTCCATGGGTGTTGATTGTGGATCCAAGTAAAATGAAATCCCTGACAACTTCAATCTTGCTGCTTAGTGATCTAGTTGTGCAGATTTTAGTTTTCTTTATGTTGGGTTGTAATCCATACTGCAGACTATAGTCTTTAATCTTCATCCATAAGTGCTTCAAGTCATTGTCACTTTTAGTGAGGAAGGTTGTGTCATCTGCATATCACAGGTTGTTAATGAGTCTTCCTCCAATCCTGATGCAATGTTCTTCTTCATATAGTTCAGCCTCTTAGATTATTGCTCAGCATATAGATTAAATAAGTACAGTAAAGGGATACAACCCTGACTCACATCTTTCCTGATTTTAAACCATGCATTATCCCCTTATTCTGTTTGAATGACAACCTCCTGATCTATGTTCAGGTTCCTCATAAGCACAAGTAATTGTTCTGGAATCCCCATTCTTCTCAATGTTATCTATAATTTGTTATGATCCACACAGTCAAATGCTCTAGTGTAGTCAGTAAAACACAAGTAAACATCTTTCTGGTATTCTTTACTTTCAGTCAGGATTCATCTGACATCAGCAACGATATCCCTCATTCCATGTCCTCTTCTGAATCCAGCTTGCATTTCTCCAAGTTCCCTGTTAATATACTGCAGCAACTGTTTTTTAATTATCTTCAGCAAAATTTTACTTACACGTGATATTAATGATATTATTCAGTAATTTCCACATTCTGTTGGATCTCTTTTCTTTGCAATGGGTACAAATTTCTATCTCTTCCAGTCAGTTGGCCAGGTAGCTGTTTTCCACATTTATTGACATGGACAAGTAAGTGCCTCCAGTGTGAAATCTCAATGACTATTCCATAAATTACTGGAGCCTTGTTTTTCACCAATTATTTCAGTGCAGTTTCAATTTCTTCCTTCAACACCATTGATTCTTGATCCTATGCCACCTCCTGAAATAGTTGAACATTGACCAATTCTTTTTGGTACAGTAACTCTGTGTATTCCTTCCATCTTCTTTTGATGCTTCCTGCATCATTCAATATTTTGCCCATAGAATCCTTCAGTATTACAACTTGAGGCTTGAATTTTTTTTTTAGTTCTTTCAGCTTGAGAAATGCTGACTATGTTCTTTCCTTTTGATTTTCTAAATCCAAGTCTTTGCATATTTCAGTATAATAATTGACATTGTCTTCTAGAGCTGCTCTTTGAAATTTTCTGTTCAGCTCTTTTATTTTGTCATTTCTTCCATTTGTTTTAGCTACTCTCCATTCAAGAGTAAGTTTCAGAGTCTTCTCTGACATCGGTTTTGGTCTTTTCTTCCTTTCTTGTCTTTTTAATGACCTTTTGCTTTCTTCATGTATGATGTTCTTGATGTCATCCCATAACTTGTCTAGTTTTTGGTCATTAGTGTTCAGTGCCTCAAATCTATTCTTCACATGGTCTCTAAATTCAGTTGTGATATAATCAAGGTCATATTTTGGCTCTTGTGGACTTGTTTTAATTTTCTTCAGCTTCAGCTTGAACTTACATATGAACAATTGATTTGTCTGTTCCACAGTCAGCTCCTGGCCTTGTTTGGCTGAAGTTATTGAGCTTCTCTATCGCCTCTTACCACAGATGTAGTCAGTCTGATTTCTGTGTATTCCATCTGGCATGGTATACATGTATACATGTATATGTGCATGGTATATGTGTATAGCTGCCTTTTATGGTTTTTTTTTTTTTTTTTTTTAAGTATTTGCAATGAATAAGTCATTGGTCTTGCAAAATTCTATCATGCAATCTCCGGCATTATCTGTATCATCAAGGCTGTATTTTGCTAATACTAATGACTCTTCTTTGTTTCCAACTTTTGCATTCCAATTTTGGTCAATTCCAGACTGTAGAAGTTGGTAAAAATCTTCAATTTCTTCATCTTTGGCTTTAGTGGTTGTTGTGTAAATTTGAATAATAGTACTATTAACTGGTCTTCCTTATAGGCATATGAATATTATCCTATCACTGACAGCATTGTACTGCAGGATAGATCTTGAAACATTCTTTGTGATGATGAATGCAATGCTATTCCTCTTCATTTTGTCATTCCTAGCATAGTAGGTTATATGATTATTTGATTCAGAATGGCCAATACCAGTCCATTTCAGCTTGCTAATGCCTAGGACATCTGTCTTCATGTGTTCCATCTCATTTTTGACAATTTCCAATTTTTCTAGATTCATACTTTCTACCTTCCATGTTCTAATTATTAATGGGTGTTTGCAGCTGTTTCTTCCCATTTTGAATCATGTTCTATTTAGTAAATAAGGGTCCTGAAAGCTTTACTTCATCCACATCATTCAGTCAACTCACTTTGAGGAGGTAGCTCTTCCCCAGTCGTATTATGAGTGCCTTCTGACCTGAGGGGCTCATCTTCGGGAACTACATCAGATAATGTTTCAGGGCTATTTTAAAGTCTTCCAGTAATATATCAGACAGTGTTTCACTGCTGTGTATGAGGTTTTCACTGGCCAATTGTTTGAGAAGTGGATGGCCTCTTTCTTCTTATCAGTCTGTCTTTGGTTAAGACCAAAAATGAACAAGCAAACCCATTGTCATCAAATCAATTTTGACTCATAGTGACCCTATGGGATAGAGTAGAACTGCCCCATAGGGTTTCCATGGCTGTCATCTTTATGTAAGCTGTTTGGCATGCCAGTTAAGTCCATTAATAAAGCAACATTTTCTAAACTATCCAGCCCACTACTGTAGCCTAATATTAATACTGCGATATCTCATACTTTTGATATAGAAAAACTATGAGTCATTTCAGAATATGCAGTTTCATGTCATTGTTTGCAGTCCCCTCAGTGTCATAGCACTCTTCTCACTTCTTCCCGTGTTTCTTGTTTCCATTCAGCCTTCTCTCCTAACCTTTCCTGCCTTCTGAACTTTGTCCTTTTGATCTTGAATGGTTGATTTTCTAAGGAATGTATACGTTCCTAGAGTTATTGTTCACCTTGTAGATCTATTGTTTGGCTGAAAATTGAGCAATAGCAGTGAGTTCAGTTCCAGGTCCAAAGCTGTGGCCAAGGGCCTTAGTTTCAGGAGTTCCACCAGTCACTATCTGACTGTCCTTTTTTTTTTTTTTATGACTTAGAGTTTTGTTCCACATTTTTCTCCCATTCTATCAAGGACCTTCTAATATGATCCCTTATAGAGAGTCAGTACGTAACCAGGCACCATCTAGTTCTTCTGGTTTCAGGGTCATGGAGGCTGAGGTTCACATTTTCACCCTATTTTATGTCCATCAAGATATTCTTTCTCTTCAAAGACTGTCAGATCTCTTATCTTGCGTGTAAACTTCCCTAATTATCTTAACTGGATATGATCTCAACTTCTTCTAATTCCTGGAACATCTGTTGTGTGACACTCACTATACAGTATTTGCGTGTTATAATTATTTGTTTATGTGCCTTGCCTTCCCTGCTAGATTTTAGTCTCCTTGAGGACTGAAACCATGTCTTCGATTTCTATATTCAACACAGTGCTTAGTATAATGTTTGAACATCATTGGCATAATTAATGAATGTATTAGGTAATTCTGATGTTGAAGATATATGCAGTGAAATAGACTGATGTCATATGTACTCTATAATTGGGAACCAAATTTAGATCACTTTCCATTTGTAAAAGAATTTTTGCTGAAGTTTGTGATAAAATGATTGAAAATCAAGGGAGGAGTTTACATCTTTCTTCTAAATGCACATGCTCTAGAAAGTAAGTTATAGATTAAAATATAACACTAGAATAAGATGAGATAATGAAACTTATGATGGTGAAATATTTCCTTCTAATCTTTTTTTCTTTAGTGGCGGCATGATTTTGTGCATGGATGGATAAAAGTACCTGTGACTCATGAAACACAGGAAGAATGTCTTGGGATGGCAGTGTTAGATATGATGAGAATAGCCAAAGAAAAGGATCAAACCCCACTGGCCATCTATAATTCTATCAGGTAATTTCCTTACCCAATCCATGCACATAAATGTGAACAGTTAAGAGTTTTTATACATCTATTTGTACTGTCTGTATTTGCCCACATATTTTGATTTTATGAAACTAAATCACATAAGGGGAAATGTAATTTTTCTTTCTTGTGTATAACACATACTTTGTGAAGTCAAAGAAATTACTGATACAGTTGGAGTACCTCAGAAAATATTCAGTACCTGTTTGTGATTTGAGTCATTTCTTCTGAAAAGGCAAGGAGAAGTCATTGGGTAGGATAGAGCACCTGAAGAGTTAATTTCTAATGGCAGATCCTCAAATTATCTGTATAAATAATGCTGAAACAGTGTCTCCCAGAGGATGGTCATTACCTGTTATAATGAAAGATTGCCAAGAGATTTCAATTTAGGAATCTGAGGTAAGGTCTACAAATAAAGATTTTCTACAAATCCTCCAGAGGATCCTGTACAAGTGATTCATAGTCCATATTCTTCAAATAATTCTTTTGCATGTTGATTTTAGAAAATCATGGTTTTTTTGAAACACTAGTCTTGCAGCTCAGTTTTATGTCTGTAAAATTCCTATTCTTTTAAAAGACCTGCATGACTATTATAAAGGAGTTCTAGTGGCACAGTGGTTAAAGCATTCAGTTGCTAACCAGAGGTCAGCAGTTCAAACCCACCAGTCGCTCAGTGGGAGAAAGATGTGGCAATCTGTTCCCATAAAGATTATAGCTTTGGAAATTCTAAGGGGCAGTTCTACTCTGTCCTATAGGGTTATAGTGAGTCAGAATTGACTTGATGGCAGTGGGTTTTGTTTTCTTTTGGGTATGACTATTATAAGAATGCTGTATTAGATTTTTTTGTAAAGTTTGAAGACTAAATATGTTGTATATATAACATACTTATAGAAGTTTGAGGATATCCTGAATCTGGATAAAACCTCTTTTCTTCCTTGAGATCCTTGTTTCAGTAACTGGCTTTAGTCATTATTTTGCTGAAAACCTTCAAAGCAAATACATACCCAGTTTGCAGGGTATTACTTTTTATGTTCCCTTCTTTGGTTTTAAGTGGTTTTGTTTTTAGATGTATGTTCTGGTTACCTAGTGCCACTCTGACAAGAACATACCACGAATGGGATGGCCTTAACAAACAGGAGTTTATTTTCTTACTGTTCAGGAGGCTAGACGTCTGAATTCAAAGTGCCAGGCTCTAGGGGCTGTGTGAAAGCCCCTCAGCCTTGGGCTTCAGCTCTGCCTCTTGCTCCTGGCCCACTGAAGCTAGAGGCATATCTTCTCTTCACTCAGGCAGCTGCTAGCTGCTGAGGCTAACAAGCCCAAGGTCGACAAATAAAATGGCACAGTCCCAATGTTACCAAACCACATGACAGGCCAAGGTTTCTCCTTATATACAGGAAGCAGACCACATCCCAAAGGCAGCTACTCAGCTGCTTGTTTTAGATCCCACCATGGAGTTGATTGCCAATCTCATCATGAGGAATTAACTACCACCAGCTGCCCAGCCACTCAACCAGACCCAGCCAAGTTGACATACAAATTTAACTACCACAATGTCTGTTAGGCCTTAACCAATTGTAGTCCATAGAATATGATTTCAAGAACCTATTTGAATTTAGAAAACTCCAAAGTCCAAAGGAGTCACAGAATTATACACATAAAATTGTTAAAGGCAAATGTTTTATTATATATATACTTAACACAATTTTAAAAAAGAAAAAGTATAAAACACAAAATTTTCTGTTTCCTATTCACTCAGATAGACATCCCTATAAGGAGATCTTTTGGGCAAGGAAGTTAAGGAGACTCATGAGTTTGATTTGACACATGGTTTAAAGTGTTTCTGAAACATCAAAATTAAATGAATAGATTGATTAAGCTATAGAACATACGGGTCTGGAGTTTAGAAGTCAGGGGTAGAGATAGAGACTTGGGAGTTATTTACAGATAGAGAAATGCCTAGTGAAAGAGAGTACAGATAAGAAGAGAAACCCAAACCAAACCCACTGCCATTGAGTCAATTCCAACCCATAGTGACAGAGTAGAACAGCCCCATAGAGTTTCCAGGGTTGTAAATATTTGAAAAGCTACCTGGCCAACTGGAATAGATACATGTTTGTGCCCATTCCAAAGAAAGGTGATCCAACAGAAGGTAAAAATTATTGAACAATATCATTAATATCACACACAAGTAAAATTTTGCTGAAAATAATTTAAAAGCACTTGTAGCAATGTATTGACAGGAACTTTCAGAAATTTAAGCTGGATCCAGAAGAGGATGTGAAACAAAGGCTATCATTGCTGATGTCAGATGGATCTTGGCTGAAAGTGAAGAATATCAGAAAGATGTTTACCTGTGTTTTATTGACTATGCAAAGACAATTTGACTGTATGGATCATAACAAATTATGGATAACATAAAGAATGAAGAGCATGAAGAATGGGAATCCCAGAACACTTAATTGTGCTCATGAGGAGCCTATACATAGATCAAGAGGCTGCTGTGCGAACAGAACAAGTGGATACTGCATGGTTTAAAATAAGGAAGGATGTGTGTCAGGGTTGTATCCTTTCACCATACTTATTCAGTCTGTATGCTGAGCAAATAATCCGAGAAACTGGACTATATGAAGAAGAACACAGCATCAGGATGGGAGGAAGACTTATCTACAACCTGTGATATGCAGATGACACAACCTTGCTTGCTGAAAATGAAAATGACTTGAAGCACTTACTGATGAAGATAAAAGACTACAGTCTTCAGTATGGATTGCACTTCAACATAAAGAAAACAAAATCCTGTCAACTGGACCAACAGGTAACATCACAATAAGTGGAGAAAAGATTGAAGTTGTCAGGGATTTCATTTTACTTGGATCTGCAATCAACAACCATGGAAACAGCAGTCAAGAATTCAGACATCATATTGTACTGGGCAACTCTGCTGCAAAAGAGCTCTTTAAAGTGTTAAGGAGCAAAGATGTCACTTTGAAGACTATGGTATGCCTAACCCAAACCAAAATATTTTCAATTACCTCAAATACGTGTGAAAGCTGGACAATGAATAGGGAAGACCGAAGAAGAGTTCATGCCTTTGAATTGTGGTGTTGGTAAAGAATACTAACAACACCATGGACTGCCAGAAGAATGAATGAATCTGTCATAGAAGAAGTGCACCCAGAATTTTCCTTAGAAGCGAGAAGGGGCAGACTTCATCTCACCAAACTTTGGTCATGTTGTGAGACAGGACCCCATTCATAAAGTAAAGGGTCAGCGAAAAAAGGGAAGACTCTCAATGAGACGGATTGACACAGTGGCTGCAATGATAGGCTCATGTATATTAAGGCTTGTTAGGATGGCACAGGACTGGGCAGTGTTTTGTTCTGTTGCACGTAGGGTCACTGTGAGTTGGAGCATACTCAATGGCATCTAACAACAAATCTTTATGGAAGCAGACTGCCTCATCTTCCTCGGGTGGAGTGGCTAGTGGATTTGAACCACCAACCTTTCCATTAGTAATCAAGTGTTTAACCATTCTGCCACCAGGACTCCTTGGTAAGAAGAAAAGAAGGCCCATAATCAAGTCTCAAGGAATTGTAACATTCAATCACCAGGTAAAGGCAACTAAGACTGAGAAGGAGGAGCCAAAGAAATGAGAATAGAATCAGGAAAACTAAAGGAAAAGAGTTTCAAGAAGGGAATATTCAGCAATGTTGAATGCTCTTGAAATGTGGCGAGTAAAATGAATGTGGAAAATTGTTGTAGCAACAAGGAGGTCTTTCTTGATTTTATCGAGAAAAGGCTCTAGGGAATGATGGAGCTGAAGCCATATTGGAGTGAGCTGAGGAGTGAATGGAAGGCAAGAAAATGAAAATGGTTGCACGTTCCAGAAGAGGCTGGATAGGCTCTAGCTGGAGGGATAAAGAGATTTAACATTTAAGATAGGAAGTATAAAAAAAAAAAAAAAAAAAAAACTAAACTCACTGTCGTCAAGTCAGATCTGATTCATAGCAACCGCTCCTTGGGTTTCTGAGGTGGTATCACTACAGAAGTAAATATTAGTACTTTTAAACTGTGTGGATAGAAGAGAAATAATAGGATGAAAATACTGAGAGAGAGTATATATGTTAGGGGACAGGAGAAAGGGGTTTGGGGGGGAATATGTGGAAGAAATGGGTTTAGTTAGCAGGATTTCTACCATTCAGATATAATAGCCACAAGTAAACTCAAAAGCTTAGATAATAGTAAAAGAATTAGAAAGTGGTGAATTTTGATTATTAATTACTTTTAATATAATTTATATTTCATATAAATTAATCTTTAGTGATGGCTGTTTTAATAGCTCACAAAAATCCTTACGACGTATTAATAGGCTATCATGAGCTGGCACAAGCTAGCTTGAGCATACCACTGGCAATAAGTAAACAATTACAGTATGGAATGATAGGTAATATTATGGAGTAATGCACAGGATACTGTGAGAACAAAAGGAGAAGTATCTAATGTAGTCATGTCATCCAGAAAGGTTTCCTGGATTTGATGATGCTGGTAGAATGAGAAAGTGAACTAAATAGGAAATGGCTGATAGGAAGAAAGATCAGCATATGTGAAGTTATGGAAATTTAATATAGTTGTACCTTCAGAAATGGAGTGTTCTTTATTTGTCAGATGTTTGGGAAGCAGAGAGATAAATTACCTACCTTCTTTTAGGGTATTGTATGCAGAGATGGAAATACAAAAGAATCAGAACCTTTCTAAATGGGACCATTTTAATTGTAAAGGAATTAGTAGGAGTTATTGAAGATGGCCTAAGAAAATAGTGTATATATACAATGGAAACATGCTTACATAATAAGCAACAGTAGCATCCAACAGTAATATATCAGTGTTTCACTGCTATTCATAATGTTTTCACGGGCCAATTCTTTGAGAAGTGGGTGGCCCCTTCCTTCTTCCAAGTCTGTCTTAGTCTTGAAGCTCCACTGAAACCTGTCCACCGTGGGTGACCCTGCTGGTATTTGAAATACTTGTGGCAGAGCCTCCAGCCTTACAGCAACATGCAAGCCACCATTGTAAGACAAACTGACGATTAAAGACTACAGTTTGCAGTATGGATTACATCTCAGCATAAAGAAAACAAAAATCTTCACAACTGGACCATTAATAAGCAGCATCACAATAAATGGAGAAAAGTTTGAAGTTGGCAAAGATTTCACATTACTTGGTTCCACAGTCAACACCAATGGAAGCAGCAGTCAAGACATCAGGTGACATATTGTACTGGGCAAATCTGCTGCAAAACACCTCTTTAAAGTGGTGAAGAACAAAAATGTCTTTGAAGACTAAGGTCCACTTAACCCAACCCGTGATGTTTTCAATCACCTCATATGCTTATGAGAGCTGGACAATGAATAAGGAAGAACAAAGAAGAGTTGATGCTTTTGAGTTGTGTTGGTGGAGAATATTGAAAGTACCATGGACTGCCAGAAGAACTAACAGATCTATACTGGAAGAAGTGCAGCTGGAATGCTCCTTGGAAGGGAAAATGGCCAGATTTTGTCTCACTTACTTTGGTCATGTTGTCAGAAGGTACTATTCCCTGGAGGAGATCATGCTTGGTACAGTAGAGGGGCATCAGAAAAGGGGAAGGTCCTCAACAAGATGTATTGACACAGTGGCTGCAACAGTGGGCTCAGGCATAGCAAGGATTGTGAGACTGGTACAAGACTGGGCAGTATTTCATTCTGTTTTACAAAGGGTCACTATGAGTCAGAACTGACTCAATAGCACCTAACAACAACAAAGCATCCAACAAAATGAAACATTTCTCAGAATTCAGATAAACGTTGGAGTATAGCATCATAGGAAATATATGCAGCACAGTGCAGTACGTGTCAAAAAACAGAAAAGAAAATGAAAATAAGATAATCAGGAAAGGCGAATTTTGGGAAAACTCCATTTTTAACTATATTGACTTCATTAGGAGAAAAAAATGGACATCTCCTGTGGTAGTTAAGGTTGTGTGTCAACTTGACTGGACCTTCTTGAGTGGTAGTTATTCCCCTATGATGAGACTGGCAATCAACTCCATGGTGGAATCTACCACAAGCAGCTAAGTAGCTAAGTGTCTGCTTCCAGTACATAAGAAGTAGCTTTGGGAATGGTCTAGTTTATGGCATTCTTGAACTCTGCATGCAGTCGTGTTGTTGTTCAGCAGCCTGCCATGCTCTGCTGACCTTGGGACTTTCAATGGACTTGAATCAATGACCTGCCATGTTGTTTGGTAGCATTGGGACTGTGCCTTTTTACTTGTCAACCTTGGGTTTGTTAGCCTCAGCAGCCAGCAGCTGTCTGAGTGAAGAAAAGCCTCCAGCTTCAGTGGGCTGGGAGTAGGAGAGCTGAAGCCCAAGGTTGAGGGGCTTTCACCCAGCCCCTAGAGCCTGGCACTATGAACTCAGACTTAAAGCCTCCAAAATTGTAAGAATAAGCTCCTGTTTGTTAAAGCCATCCCATTTGTGGTATAGTCCAATCAGAGCAGTAGTAGGTAGCCAAAACATCTCCTGTTCTAAACATTTATGGTATCTTAGAGAAGATAGTGTATATATGGCACATCATCAAATGAAACTCTCAGGTTGTACACCATCTGGGGGTCTTTGTAGACCTTTTTCCACTTGACTGCTGTTGTACTTACCTGTCAGGGAGAAAGGTGATTAACCTCTCTTTCAGCTTTGTTACGAATTTATCTTCCAATTTGCTTTGTTTTTCTGTGTGTGCTCTTTATCCCTAGCTACAAGACATTCTTACCAAAATGTGTTAGAGCAAAAATCCAAGACTATCATATTTTGACAAGGAAGCGAATAAGGTACAGATTTCGCAGATTTATTCAACAATTCAGCCAATGCAAAGCCACTGCCAGAAACTTGAAACTTAAGTATCTTATAAATCTGGAAACGCTTCAGTCTGCCTTCTACACAGAGCAATTTGAAGTAAAAGAACCTGGAAGAGGTCCTTCAGGTGAGGAGATTTTTGCAACCATTGTAATAACTGGAAACGGTGGAATTCAGTGGTCAAGAGGGAAACATAAAGAAAGTGAGACACTGACAGAACAGGTAATCCTTAATGATATGTTCTCATTTCTTTTGTTGTTATTTTAAGTAGAATGGCAAGGAAGAAACGTCACTGTAGTCATTTGAAACATTGTCTTGCACTTCTCCCATTGATAGAAGTGGGAGTTTTTAATGGTATGAAGCCATCAGGGTCATATGTTTCCTTTTTCATTGTTCTTAAATTGCTTTTATTTCATTTTTTTCAATGATGAAATAATTAGTAATGATTCTTTCATAGTTTCAGAAATGGATTAAATTCTAAATGTGAAATTATTTTTAAGGCAGTTTTGCCTCTTGTTTTTTCTCTCACTGTTACTGATCTCATGGGAGGCTCAATCGTAAAATTTAACTAAATGCAAAATATTCATTTTAATTGATTTTGTAATAATGAATACTTGTTAAATAATTAATTTTGTTTTTAGCTTTGCATTGCAGCTTTAAATTTGTTCATATCTATGTTGTTCTTAGATGATTATTAGAGACTTAGAAGGAAAATTTGATTTTTATTCTTTAGTAGTTAAATTTCCATTTTTCTGGCAGTGGTTCCTATTAATGTTAATGGGATTGAAAGGGGATATAGCCTTTAATACACTCTTATTTTTAAATCAAAGCAAGACATAATGTAATCTTAGGGTTAGGTTATTGGGGGAGGAAATACTATTTTATGCTAGTACTGTTAATGCCTTATTTATTTTAAAGAATTCTGAGTTGTTTTAAAGTGTTGTTTATAAAATGGCTCCACAAATTCTACTTGTTTTTATTTTAATTGCTCTGAATCACAGGATTTACAGTTATATTGTGATTTTCCTGATATTATTGATGTCAGCATTAAGCAAGCAAACCAAGACATCTCTAATGAAAGCAGAGTTGTAACAATCCATAAGCAAGATGGTAAAAATCTGGTAAGCTTGCTTTTAAGATTAAATAATGATTATTTTACAGTTACCAGAAATCAGTATTTCAGAATCTTAATACCAAAGTTATTTTCTTATGGGAATTTTGGTTATAGTTTAAGTATAGCTCTGAACATAAACATCAGTTCACTAAGCTTTCTTATGACATCTAGCTTTTTGTATCTCTACCAACCTTCCCTCTACCTTCCCACAGAGTTTCTTATACATTACCATCTTTCCCACTCAGTTTATGATTAACAAAGTCCCAGTTCTTACCCCAACTCTGGATTGTGCTGGTTCCCTGTTGTGATGCTCATTCCTATCATCTTTTATGATCAACAGAGGTGTATCCAATGCCTTATTAAAAATAAATAAATTCAATGCTATCAGAATTTATGGGAGCTCTGGTAGCATAGTGACTAAGGCACTTGGCTGCTAACCACAAGACTGGCGGTTCAAACCCACCAGCCACTCCTCGGAAGGAAGATGGGGCAATCTACTTCTGTAGTGATACTGCCTCAGAAACCCAAGGAGGGGTTTTATGAGTCGGGTCTGACTCCATGGCACATAACAACAACAACAATGTCAGAATTTATATACTATAATAAAACGTAAACCAATTCCAAGTCAGCCCCACCCAAGCTATAAGATATAGTTGATTCAAAAAGATTAAACCTTTCCTTTTCTTTAAATATTAGTTTCAGAAGTACCATGTATTTCAATCAAAAGGGAAGAAATGGATTCCTTTATACTCTGCTTTTAGATTTCTTTTTTATCTGGCTCTGTTTTCTTTTTAACCTCCTGGCTTAAACATCATGAATGTTATTTGTTCATTTAGCTTAGATATCTGTATGACCTAGCAGTCTGGCTATTTCTGGGTTTAAAAAACAAAACAACACAAAACAACTCAGTGCCATCAAGTTGATTCCAACTCATAGTGACCCCCTTTGGGTTTCTGAGGCAGTAAAATCTTTACGGAAATAGATTGCCCAGTTTTCCTTCCACAGAGTGGCTGGTGGGTTTAAACTTCCAACCTTCTGGTTAGTAGTCAAATGCCTTAGGCCCTACACTACCAGAGCTTCTTATTTCAGGGTTATATTATCTAAGTTATAACTAACATGCAACTTACTTTAGTCGGTATACTTTCCTGTTCTTAGGTAAAAATATGATATCATGTATACTGACTGCCTACTAGTGTTTGAGAAAAATGAAATGTTCTTCTGATCATTTTTTGAAAATGAACTCAGACAGCAGTGTGGATGGATAGTTGAGGGAATTAGGAAAAGGATGTAAGGAAGTCAGTCATGCTCATAGTTAATAATTAGACTTGGATGAGGAGTATAAGTAGTGGGATAACAGTGATATTAAAAACCAACTCACTGCCATTGAGTCTATTCCAACTCACAGTGACCATATAGGACACAGTAGAACTGCCCCTTAGGGTTTCCAAGGCTGGCTATAAATCTTTATGAAAGCAGAGTGCCTCATCTTTCTCCCACAGGGAGCTGGTAGGTTCTAAGCCCTGATGTTTCAGTTTGCAATTCAATGGTTTAACCACAGTGCCACCAGAACTCCTGGCTGTAATGTTGTTGTTGTTATGTGTGATTGAGTCGTACCTGACTCATTGTGACTCCTCCTTGGGTTTATGAGGTGGTATCCCTACAGAAGTAGATTGCCCAACCTTCTTTCCGTGCTGTGATATTAGCCTGTATGAAAAATATTGTTGTATTAGAATCGACAAGAGTTGGTGATCATCAGATACTGGGAGTCATTGTTGTTACTATTAGGTGCTGCTGAGCTGTCTTTGGGTCATAGCGACCCTATGTACAACAGACCCTATATACAACAGAACCAAACAGTGCCTGGTCCTGTGCCAGCCTCACGATCCTTGTTATACCTGAGCCTATTGTTGCAGCCACTGTGTCAATCCCTCTTGTTGAGGGCCTTCCCCTTTTTCATTGACCCTCCACCTTACCAAGCATGATATCCTTCTCCAGGAAATAGTCCCTTCTGACAACATGACCACAGTAGGTAAGACGAAGTCTGGCCATTCTCGCTTCCAAGGAGCATTCCAGCTGCATTTCTTCCAGGACAGATCTGTTAGTTCTTCTGGCAGTCCATGGTACTTTCAGTATTCTTCACCAACACCACAACTCAAAACCATCAATTCTTCAGTCTTCCTTATTCATTGTTCAGCTCTCACATGCATATGAGGCAGTTAAAAATACCATGGCTTGGGTTAAGTGCATCTTAGTCTTCAAGCAGACATCTTTACTCTTCAGTGCTTTAAAGAGGTCTTTTGCAGCAGATTTGCCCAATGCAATGCATCTTTTGATGTCTTGACTGCTGCTTCCATTGGTGTTGATTGTAGAACCAAATAATGTGAAGTCTTTGCAACTTCAATCTTTTCTCCATTTATCGTGATGCTACTTATTGGTCCAGTTGTGAGGATTTTTGTTTTCTTTATATTGAGGTGTAATCCATACTGCAGACTATAGTCTTCAGTCTTCATCAGTAAGTACTTCAAGTCATTGTCACTTTTAGCAAGCAGAGTTGTCATCTGTGTATCGCAGGTTGTTAATGAGCGTTCCTCCAATCCTGATGCCACGTTCTTCTTCATATAGTCCAGCTTCTCTGATTATTTGCTCAGCATACAGACTGAATAAGTATGGTGAAAGGATACAACCCTGATATCCTGATTTTAAACCATGCAGTGTCCCCTTGTTCTGTTTGAACGACAGCTTCCTGGTCTATGTGCAGGTTCCTGATGAGCTTTAAGTGTTCTGGAATTCCCATTCTTCTCAGTGTTATCCATAATTTATTATGATCCACACAATTGAATGCTTTTGCATAGTCAATAAAACACAAGTAAATATCTTTCTGGTATTCTTTGCTTTCAGCCAAGATCTATCTGACATCAGCAATGATATCCCTCATTCCACATCCTCTTCTGAATCCAGCTTGCATTTCTGGAAGTTCTCTGTCAATATACTACTGCGACTCCTTTTGAATTATCTTCCCCAAGATTTTACTTGCATGTAATACTAATGATATTGTTCAATAATTTCCACATTCTGTGGGATCACCTTTTTTTGGAATGGTACAAATATGGATCTCTTCCAGTCAGTTGGCCACATAGCTGTCTTCCAAATCTTTTGGCATAGCTGAGTGAGTGCCTCCAGCGGGACATCCGTTTGTTGAAACATTTCAACGGGTATTCTGTCAATTCCTGGAGGGTTACTTTTCACCAATTAGTTCAGTGATGCTTCAACTTCTTCCTTCAGTACCATTGTTGATCATATGCCACCTCCTGACATGGATGAACATCGACCAATTCTTTTTGGTACATTGACTCTATGTATTTCTTCCACCTCCTTTGATATTTCCTGCGTTCTCCCTTAGTTGTTTCTAACTGCTGCCAGCTTGCTTCCTGGTCTCCCTTAGCTGTTTCATACCTCCGCCGGCTCACTTCCGGGGATAGTGGGAGTATCCACAAATAACTTTGATTATTTTGTAATTTGCAACCAGTGCATTAACATGATCTTATTGTAAGAAAAAAATTCAACAATTCAGATTTACGTAGAATAGGTAAAGGTCCCTAAGAATAATATTCATTTCAGTCTTACTCCTCCCTCTGGAGGTAACTATTGATAAAAATTTTCTGTGTATATTTTCTTTACATAAGTGGAGTCATAGATTATGTATTGTTCTTTAGTGTTTTTTTTTTCCTTAATAAGATATCATTGTTCTACATACTTACAGATTTAACTCTTAAAACTACTCCTGTGTATATGCTACACTTTATAACTTATTTAACAATTCACTCCTCTACTAATAGACATTTAGTCCTTGTCATTTTTTTTTCAGTACAAAAAATGCAGCAAGTAATCATCTTCGTATATGCCTTTCTGTATATGTAAGTCAGTATATTGCTAAGAAAGATTTAGAAGAAAATTAATTTAGGAAAATTAATGAATTTGGGATGGAATGAAGAGAATTTTCAATATTTAGCAAGAGTTGACTTTTTACATGGTACTTAATACCATGATGTAATTGTTTCTTTTTCATCTGTTTAGGAAATTGAACTTAGCTCATTAAGAGAAGCCTTGTCTTTTGTGTCACTGATTGATGGTTACTATAGATTAACTGCAGATGCACATCATTACCTCTGCAAAGAAGTAGCACCTCCAACAGTACTTGAAAATATACAAAGCAACTGTCATGGCCCAATTTCGTAAGTAATACAGACTTTAAAAATTTTAAAAGGTAAATGAGATGTTTAAAAGAAAATTTTCTACAACAGGGTGATATAAATGAGTTTGTTGTTGTTGTTGGTGTTATGTGCCATCAAGTCGGACTCGACTCATAGCGACTCCTCCTTGGGTTTCCGAGGCAGTATCACTATGGAAGTAGATTGCCCAACCTTCCTTCTGAGGAGTGGCTGGTGAGTTTGAACTGCCAGCCTTCTGGTTAGCAGTCAAATGCCTTAGGCACTACACTAAAAGAGTTTAGGAATTTAGAAAAAAGTCTTTATTTGACTGACATTGGGTTGTTCTTGTTGTTGCTATTAACAAAAGTCTATATTTTGCAATTGGATTATGTAATAATTAGAATTACTTAGGATATAATTTGCCACCTCTGTCCTAGTTTATAATACTTATAATTTGTATAAGTTTAACATTTAATTGCTATTCATGTTTAACTCTCAGATGTAATTTAAAATCACCCCCTTATTATTATCTTTGCTAATTTTGGTTCAAACCCACCAGCCACTCCTTGGAAGGAAGGTTGGGCAATCTACTTCCATAGTGATACCACCTCGGAAACCCAAGGAGGGGTCACTATGAGTCAGATCTGACTTGAAGGCAGTGAGTTTGTTTGTTTTTTCTTTCTTTAAGAGTTTGAGAAAAGTTGGTGTTAATTCTTCTTTAAATGTTTGGTGGAATTCACTAAAGGAGCCATCTGGTTTTGGAGTTTACTTTTTGGAAGATTTTTAATTACTGATTCAGGTTTGTTGTAGGTTTGTTGAGACTTTCGATTTCTTTTTGAGTTAGTTTAGATAATTTGTGTGTTTCTTGAAATTTGCCATTTCATCTCAGTTATCTACTTTACTGGTATATAATTGTTCATAGTATTCTCTTCTAGTCCTTTTTATTTCTGAAAAGTCTATAGTAATGTCCTCATTTTCATTTTTTATTTTAATTATTTATGTCTTTTATCTTTTTTCCTCAGCAGCCTAGTTAAATGTTTGTCAATTTTATTACTCTTTTTAAAGGACTAAAGATATATTAATGAACATAAAAAGTACAGAAGACCTCCAAGAATGATGAGTGTTAGATATGTCATTAGATTATATAGATGATGTTTGGTCATAATGTCATGGTGCCTGCTATGTTATGTAAAAAGTCTGCTGGAAATTTGATAGGTGTTTTGTTGAACCTGTAGCTCAATTTGGGTTGTTCAGTTGGCCCTCTGTATCCATGGGTCCCACATTTACAGATTCAACTAACTGCAGATTGAAAACATTCAGGGGGATAAAAAGCAATTAAGTGGCCAAAGCAATCCCTCAAAGGCTAAGAGGGAGCATAAAATGCTGTTTACGTAGACTCTACATTATATTAGGCTTTATAAGTAATCTGGAGATGATTTAAAGTATATGCAAATACTAGACCATTTAATATGAGGAACTTGAGCATCCATGGATGTCCTGGAACAAGTCCTCTGTGGATACTGAAGAACAACTATATTGACAAATATTATTTTCTTTACCTTTAGAATGGATTTTGCCATTAGTAAACTGAAGAAAGCTGGTAATCAGACTGGAATGTACGTACTTCGATGCAGTCCTAAGGACTTTAATAAATATTTTCTCACGTTTGCTGTTGAGGTTAGTATGTCATACTAATTAATGCTGACAACTTTATTTTGCCCATCTAATTTCCCCTTCATATTCAACCACCCTATTTCCTTTTTAATACTCAGAACTATAGCTTTGGGTTTGATAGTTAGCATAGTGACAGTTTTTTCAAGGATGTTGCGTAAACAAACAAGGTGTAATTCCTAGCAATTATACAAAAATATGAAATGATTTGCTGTTTTTTTAATCCTTTTATTTGATATTTATTTTTGAAGTTTGGGTGTGATCAGCTTCTCAAATGACACTTCATCAAATCTCTTAAATACTCTTCTTCTCAACCATGAAAATCTCTGCCAAATCCCATGGAACAAAATAAATCAAAAGGAAATTTTCTTTTTACTAAGAATGATCAGATGATTGGAAGAAAATAGCAATCACAGAAATAAAAACAAAAACAAAAAAATCCAAACAAACCCAGAAGCACTTTAGCACTCTTAACCATAATACTTTAACCAATATTAAGAATAGTGATCTATAATGTATGTTTTAAACATAAAGCTACAGTGAAACCTCACTGTTAAGACAGATCATTTGGGATCTTTTATGAGATTATTTATTATTCAAAATCTTAAGAAACTTTATATCAACTTCCAGATTTATCTTTTTCAGAATAGAAATTGAATTGCTATTCAATTATTTTAGTTTTTACAAAATACAAAACCATGTTTAGCATCTGTAGATAGTGGATTAATTTCAATCACTATAGAAGGTGGTGTACCCTGTGATTTACCATTATATAAAAGACTGATAATCCATCCTGATTTGACATTATCATCTTACTATAACGATCCATTGTATTGAATTATCAATTGAAAATATAAAATTTTAGGTTTACTCTATGTGCCCTGACTGTGTGTTTAGGTATAATTATACAGGCTTACCTCCAAGAAAGTGTATGATACAGCCCTGCCTTCAAGACTTATTCTTTGGAAAAACAGTAATAAGAAAGTATACCAAAAAGTACTAAATTGAACATTATAATTACCCAGTATAGAAAATACTGAGAATAACAGAAGGGGTTACATTTATGAAGAGAATCTTTTGGAGGAGGAAGGTCTTGAGATAGACCTGGGGTTTTGGTAGATTTTATATAAATGGTTCTAAATAGAATGAATATATTTATAAGGAGTGGCCCAAAAAATGGTTGAGTGAACACATAAGACTCACTGCTGTCGAGTCAGATCCGACTCATAGCAACCCCTCCTTGGATTTCCAAGGCAGTATCACTATGGAAGTAGATTGCCCAATCATCCTTCCAAGGAGAACACATAAGATAAGCATGTAAAACAAACTACAAAATATTAAAATGCCATATCAGAGATAATTATACACGTACAGTAGTGGCACAACATGTTTGTAGCGTGGTATGAGAGTTGTTAAGGAAGACCTCACAGAAAAAGTGTTGCTTGAAGTGAATTTTAAGGAATGAATAAAAGGTTTATTCCTTAGAAGGAAAGGAAGTACATTTTAGAAAGGCAGATCGCACATATTGTTATCAAGGCATTAAATAGCAGGGCATTTACTTGTGATTTCCAATCTCTAGGTTATGAATAGGAGCGCTGGTAGCATAGTGCCTAAGGCACTTGACTGATAACCAGAAGGCTGGCAGTTCTAACCCACCAGCCACTCCTCAGAAGAAAGGTTGGGCAATCTACTTCCGTAGTGATACTGCCTCGGCAACCCAAGGAGAGGTCACTATGAGTCAGGGCTGACTCGACGGCACATAACAACAACAATAACAGGTTATGAACAAGATCTATTCCTAACTGTGCCTGTAAAAATTTTCAGGTCAGTTGGAACAGGTGCATAGTGTTCTTATTTAGCCTTACTTTAGTGCACAGAGGGAGCTCTGGTAGCGTAGTGTCTAAGGCACTTGACAGCTAACCAGAAGGCGGGCGGTTCAAACCCACCAGCCACTCCTTGGAAGGAAGGTTGGGCAATCTACTTCCATGATACTGCCTCGGAAACCCAAGGAGGGGTCGCTATGAATCAGGTCCAACTCGACGGCACATAACAACAACAACAACAATTAGCGCACGGAGAGGCTCCAAACTTTTTCAATGATTTAAAAGCTGCACATGCAGCAGTTGAAGGTGATTGTGATGAATTTGTTATGAGTAGGGATTGATTCAATCATTTCAAATGAGGTCACATTTATATAACATTAAAGCAGGGCTTCAAAGATGGCAGCACCCCACTCAAAGACTGCAGCATCCTGCTCAAAGATGGTGGCTGACTACATCACTTTGAATGTGTGCCTGTCTACAGTCCCGTCAGTAATGCAGTCTCCTGCATCAGGCTCCTGAAAGGGTTCACCGTGCCACTTCTGAGTCTCTCACCCCAGGGTTTTGGAAAGTAATTTTTCCATTCTAGTTGCAGTGACAAATCACCCAAATTGTAAAAATTCCAGTCTGTTCCTGTTATGCTTCATTGGCTATGATGAAACTAATTTGACGCCTGCATTAAAGGGCAAGTAGTAGTTGTCTGTTAAGTTGGACGTTTGTAACCCAGGTACTTCCTGTACTTAAGTCACTTAGTAAGGCTGGAATGTAAACTATTTTTTGTGAGTAGCAGGAATTGCAATTGGAGATGGAGGAAGAAGTTGGCTCATGGAAGGCCTTATATACTATATTAGTTTTAGACTTTATTCTGTAAATGATGGGGAGCTGTTAAGAATGGTATTACTGTTGTTAATTATCATTGCTTTCTTACTTGCTTCTTAATAAAATCAACTGTCAGCCACTTCTGTAAGCTACACAATTGTAAATAAATACCTTTTTGAGGAACCAGCATTTCTCTCACCCTATACCAGTCCTACAGTAGAGTTCACAGTTGTTAATATTCTCTTGGTTGTTTTTGTCATATCCCCTTTCTCAGAATAATTCCTGTTACATCTATTGTGATTTTTCTCCCCTCTCTATAATTAAACTTGTATAGCGAGAAAATGTCATTGAATATAAGCACTGTTTGATTACAAAAAATGAGAATGGAGAATACAACCTCAGTGGGACTAAGAAGAACTTCAGTACTCTTAAAGATCTTTTGAATTGCTACCAGATGGAAACTGTTCGTTCAGATAGTATAATTTTCCAGTTTACAAAATGCTGTCCCCCAAAGCCAAAAGGTAAAATAATTGTCTAGTTACTCTTAAAATACTGGTTATGGATTGTGTAACTGGTGGAAGGTATCCTCAATATATAGATTTCAAAAGAAATAGGAAAGAGCAGCTCCAAAACAAAATTAATTTTCACTTATTCTGTTGTAGAAGCACCAAGTAAGAAAGTGTAGATTAGTTTGGGTTGTCAAGAAGTGACTCAAAGTTCCATAATTATAGAATGGCATTTTAAAGGTAATGATTGCTTGGTGTAAATCAATCACTTATTTGCTTACATACTTTTTCAGGATTTTAATTTCTGTATTTAAAAAATAAGGATAGTAAGTTTGGAAATCCCTTGAAATAATAATTGGCTTATTGTTAAAGATCCTGAAAAATTATATTAGTTAAGGAAGTGATTATAATTTTAATGGTTGAAATAGAGTACATGAAAGTTCGATGAATAACCTCCTTAGATAATTTTGTATGAGAAAAACAATAAACATGTATTATTTCTTATATATAGAATACATTTTGTTTTATTTTTCTT